GCTCTTGCCTCAGTTTCCTCATCTGTAAAATGGGGGTAATAAGAATCGCATCATGAAGCCTGAAGCAGAACTCATAGAAACACCAAAAGCAGTTTTCTTTTTTTAAAAGGGTTGTGATTTTCTGCTTGTCTTTAGAAACTGAATCAGGGAGACAGGGCCGTGCTTGGGATTGTTTGGGAAAGCTGGTGGGAAAGGGCAGGATGGGTCCCCGTGGGCGTCACATCTGTATTCACGTCCGGGGGAGTGAATCCTTAGCCAGGAGAGGGCCGGACGAGCGTTACTGAAGAGGATGGATGTCCTTTCGTGGGGTGAATGCCCCCACGAGGTCCAGGGGGATCCCGACCTGCACACGGGCCCAACCAAGCAGCGTCAGAGGCTGGTGGCCAAGAAAAGGAGGTGGAGACTGGATCTGACGCTCACCAACAGGGACCGCTGGCTGCTGGCATTACAGTGGAAGCGACTGATTCATCTTTAATTCTGTGATAAAGAAAATGGGGACTTCTGAGTTGGGTGAGCCCCGGGATGGAGGGGTGGGCATTGCCCCAGATCTCTCCAGAACAGACATTACGCACCGAAGCAACTGCAGCTGTCTCCAGGGTCTGGGACACCTGGAACCCAAGAGAAGGCTTACACAACAAGCCATCCATTACCCAGCACCTGCACCCCCACTGCCCAGCACCCTGTGAGCAGAGGGGCTGCATCAGCTCCCCAAGGGCCCGACAGACACCCAGCTCCAGACTCTGTGACAGCACTGAGGCAGCAGGGCTGGGGACGTGTCTCGTACCTGGGCTCAAAACCCCCGACGTCAGAGCCAGCGAGGAAGCCGGACAGGGCGTTGTGTGCGAGTGGGAGAAGGGGGAGCCTAAGCAAAAGGGCCCAGCATCCGCTGGCGTGGGAGGAGACCGAGAGGCTTTGAGACCCAGGCCCCAGGGAGCTGCTGTCAGAGGGCAGACGGTCGGAATGCGAGCGACGGGCGTCTACCCCAAGCGTGTGAACACCTTGTCTCAGGCAGAACGGGCGGGTGAGAACAATTTGTTCCAGCAGCCAAGAAGACAGCCAAAGCGGGTGCCGTGGAGCCCCGAGAGCGCCGTCAGACGTCGAGGATGCCGCGGTCCTCCACTGCGTCCAGGGCATCGAGTCGTCCTGACTCTCGTCCTGCCGCTGGACTCAGATGAGTCTGGAAAAGAGAGTGGGGCTGGCCCGCCGCACTTCAGGCCAGGTCACAGGCAAGCGGTGTTCTTCAGAAAGGAAGGACGAGCTGCAGTGGCACTGTTTAATTAATGGACAGGCTGGTTGGCCAAGAGCCACCTTCAGAGATGACCCTCGAAGACTAAAGCGTGGCCAGGGAAGTGAAACCCAGGAGGGTGAGGGCCTGGAGACCCTGTTCTATGAGGACTAGTCTAGGGGAGTGGAGGAGCTCCAAACTGAACCGAACCCCAGAGGTTCTCTCTCTGTCTGCATCACTGTCTGTCTCTTCTTTTTTTCTGTCTCCATACATTAACAAAGCTCTCTATGTATGTTCATATTCACGGAGAAAGACAAAGTGGAGACAGAGATGCGTTCCTCAGGTATTGGCAGGACAGCATGCTGTGCAGGAAGGGTTCCCTTTGTTGTTGGGGCTCCAGGGAGCAGAACGAGACGGTGGGGTCGAGCAGCAGGGAAGCAGGCGCCTCCCTCTCTGGCTTTTTGGGAAGATTGTCAGCCTGGTCCCTCTGTTTGGTGCAGCTCTGCCCAGCATGCGGGCTGTCCTTCCTTACCTCTGCATCCTTTGATGCCGCCTTCATCTCGAGGGCCTTCACACGACCTTTCTTGTCCCACCCCCCAGTTGTTAATGCTTCCTCCCACCAAAAATCACCTTGCCTATATTTTGTGTTGGGCAGCCAGGTGGTGCAGTGGTTAGAGCACCAGGGCCCAGAGTCAGGAAGATCTGAGTTCACATCCAGCCTCAGATCCTTACTAGATGCATGGCCCTGGGCAAGTCATTTCACCCTGCTGGCCTCGGTTTCCTTATCTGTAAGATGAGCTGAAGAAAAAAATGGCAAACCACTCCAGTGTCTTCGTCAAGAAAACCCCAAATGGGGTCACAAGAGAACCAGACACCACCGAACAGCAACATTTTGTGTTGACTTGTGTATGTGCCTGTTAACCTCCCCCAGCAGAATGTAAACTCCTTGAGGGCGGGGAGTTTCATTTGTCTGTAGCATCTAGCACAAAGGTTCCTAATCAGCTGAATTGCTCAGGGATGTTGATGAAGGGATTTCTGCATTGAGAAGTAGCTTGTCCCAGACTCTCTCTATGGCTGTTTCCAACCCTCAGTTTTTAGTTCACATGTTGAATGAGTCTGCTTTGATCCAGATGGAAGGAGAGTTTTTCTCCTCCTGCTTCAGATTGTACAGATTGTTTTTGTTGCATTTGATTAGGTTTTTCCCTCATTATCAAACATTCATTGTCCTTTCCATCCACCTACCCCCTGAAATTAAAAGAAAGAAAAAGAAAACTGTTGTAACAATTGAGCATAGTCAAGCAAAACAAATCCCTGTATTGGCCGTGTCCAAAAACGTGTTTCTCATTCTGGGTATTACGTCATTACCTCTGTCGGGAGTGGGCAGCTTTCTTTATCATTGACCCTTTGGAGTCGTGGTTGATTGTTATATTGATTATAGATCTTCTGTCTTTTAAAAGGTTTTCCTTTTTGCAGCGTTGATAGTATGATATTAATTGTTCTCTTGGGTCTGCTCACCTCCTTCTGTATTAGTTCATGCAAGTCTTCTCAGGTTTTCTCTGAAACCTTCCCTTTCCTCGTTTTGTGCAGCACAATTCTATTCTGTTACATTTACGTACCATACTTTGGGTTCAGTCATTCCCAATTAGTGGACACCCCCATAGTCTGCAGTGGTTTGCCATACAAAAAGAGCTGCTATAAATGTGTGTATTTATAATAGGGGTGTGTGTGTGTATGTGTGTGTGTACGTATACATATGTAGTGTCCATATGTGTATATGAGAATGGAAGAGGTTTGTATGTCACTGCTTGAATATCTCTGAAATTTTGAAATGCCAGTACTGTTAACAAGTTTTTTGTTTTTCATCCAGGAAAGTCAGTTGATATCTAGTTTATAATTAGATCCATTAGACCCAAAGAGATGTTTTTGTCTGTAGTAAAGCAGAGTAATTATGTGTAGTATATTTGAGGTCACCCCCCCCCCTTGTGGTAGGGAGTATTAAGATTACAGTCAGGTCTTACAGTCAGGGCTCACCAAGTTCAAAATCTGGCCTGGGGATGCAGCACCCAGAATGAGCCATCTTGGGAGGAAGAGGTTAACGTGGATAAGCATGACTCACACTCAGCTCTCCAGTTTGTGGCCATTCCTTACCTGAAATATTAAACAATACAAAACAGGTCAAGAGCTTTCCAAGACAGCATCTGGTCCAGCCTGGTTCTGCCGGATCTCAGAGCCAGGCCTCGCAGTGCTGGCAGAAAGGCGGGCAGGCCATCGAAGCTCCTAGCAGCCAAGCCGTCCAACGGTTGAGTGGGCTGCCTTTGTAGCAGGTGGGGTCCTTCACAATCAGTGTCTTCTTTTGCTTTTTTTTTGGTGAGGTAATTGGGGTTAAGTGACTTGCCCAGGGTCACACAGCTAGTAAGTGTCAAGTGTCTTAGGTCAGATTTGAACTCAGGTCCTCCTGACTCCACGGCCAGAGCTCTATCTGCTACACCACCTAGCTGCCCCAATCAATGTCTTCTTGCAAAGACTGGGTGATGCCTTGTCCAGGGTGTGTTACAGGGCTCTCCTGGCCAGGTCTGGATTGGCCTAGAGCAGTGTGTGTCCTGGCCCCCATTGGCAGTCTGCTGAAACCTAGAGCCCCTTTTCAAAAGTGTGTGTGTGTGTGTGTGTGTGTGTGTGTGTGTGTGTGCTTTCATTTGTAATTAAAAGAAATGCTAAATTTCAGTTAGTGAAAATAAAGATGTAATTTACTCCCATTCAAGTTCATGGAATGTCCCTAAGTCTAGCTATGGAGCCCAGGTCTAAAGAGGCTCCGTGATTCCTTCCCCCTCTGAGATTGTAATGCCAGTAGATGTGTTCTGTAGACTGCCGATCTGGGTTTCACATTTCCTCCACATCCCTTTTGTGATTTGTGTACCATTGTTCATGACTGGTTGTGTCAACCCCTGCGACCTGGTATTGAGAAAATAAGACTGAGAGAGCCTGAAAACGAGATGTGGATTTGATGTGGACTCAGTCAGCGGGCATGTCTCTATGGGGGCACATTAGCACAAAGCCCTTCCGGTACAGCTGCATGGCAGACATGTTTCTAGGGGACACAAAGCACCTCAGCCATCATTTCTAAAACTGCTTTGCATTTGGATTCTGTATTTTTTGTGAGAGTCAAAGCGAGCCTGTCATAGTTTCTTCCTAGAATAGACCTGTGGTGGGAGCACACATTGTCAATTTGGGGTCTTTAGAAAAGCAAACCAGCCTTCCCCCTAGAATGTGATTCTCTCCTTGGCATCTTTGTTTCACATTCGTCTTCCAAGCCTCGGTCATTCTCTTCCGTCTTTGCTGGTGGAGAGGACCTCTGAAGGGCTTTTGATATTAAGACAGACTGTGTAAGACACACATGTGCCGCTGTTGTTTTCATTGACATGATGTGTACTTAAGAAGCACATGTCAACATGTGCCTTTTCTTTAACTCAGAAAAGAATCGAGTTCTAAACCAGGACATTGTACGTGACTTGTTCTCTGTGTGCTAACCTTAAAAATGCTTATTGCATAGAGTAGTCATTTAGCAATTTGGGCATAATATTATGTTGTTCTCTATTTTAAATCTTTTCTTAATTTGAAAAAATACCTAGTCATTTTGCCTATAGAATTTTCCATTTGGTAAGCTTGCACTGATGTATGTTGTGAGTAGAAACCAGTTAGCCACATGTGGATGTCGTGTATGGTGTAGAGCAGCTCTTTGTGTTGAGACGTTCTCATTGTCTTCACCTAGGATGGCAAGCGGATGTTCGGCACCTATTTTCGTGTGGGTTTTTATGGGACCAAGTTTGGGGACTTGGATGAGCAGGAGTTTGTATATAAGGAGCCCGCGATAACCAAGCTTGCCGAGATCTCGCACAGACTGGAGGTGAGTGCTCGGGTGGTCCGGCGGCGCTGTTCCTGGCAGTTCCTGGCCTGGCCTGGTCTCTTGTTGCTGCCCTGAGTGTCCAGCCTGGATTTTATCACTTAATAAGCTGATGATCCAGTTTTTTCAGTCACCCTTTCTGGTAGATGCAGATAGTGCCCAAAGTCATATTCCCTAACTTGAAACCAGCCAGTGTACCACTGAAAGCACTCAGTTTACCTGGAGAGTAGCTCACCTGGAAAAATCTGACTTGCAGATTTTGAACTTTGAACTTTGAACTTTTCTTTGTTGATTAATCATTAGTTGGTATTTGGCCAACATCCCCTTTCTGATTCTTACCATACTTACATGGTCTCCATCTTTCTGAGCCCAATAAAAATCAGACCTTAGGCATCAAAGAAATTAAATGTGAGCTATCCTTCCTTCCTGTTCCCTTATTGTTTGGTTTTCTTGAAAGTCTATTGAGGACTGTGTATTTTCTAAGTGCATATGCTTGTGTTTTTTGCTTTTTATAAATTGAGAAAAAAGAGGAAATTTGAGCAGAGTCAGTGCTAAGTTTGAGGACCTGTTTTGTTGGCATGTGAAACAAATGATTTCTTAAAATTATTCACGTGGCTGTTTTACACGTTAAAGCCATCTAAATGCTCACATTCTCTGAGCTCTCTTCACAACAGCACTTTTCTTATCTTTTAATTTTGTGTGAGATGGAGCCTTCATGTGAAATTTTTTCTCTTTATTTTAGGGGTTTTATGGAGAAAGATTTGGAGAGGATGTAGTTGAAGTAATCAAAGATTCTAACCCTGTGGACAAGTGCAAATTAGATCCTAATAAGGTACTGTGATAATAGATAGCCATGAAATATAATGATGCCTTGGAGATGCTCCCTAATTTATTTGGGAGAAGCTAAATTGATGATGACGTGACATGATATTGAAAAAACTAAGGTGGTCTTTCTTCTCTTAGGCATACATTCAGATCACGTATGTGGAGCCATACTTTGACACGTATGAAATGAAGGACAGAATCACCTACTTTGACAAAAATTATAATCTTCGACGGTTCATGTACTGCACACCTTTCACTTTAGACGGCCGTGCCCATGGGGAGCTCCATGAGCAGTTCAAACGGAAGACCATCCTCACGACGTCCCACGCCTTCCCTTACATCAAAACCAGAATCAACGTCGTTCACAAGGAGGAGGTGAGACCAGGGGCCCGGGCTCGGGTTTAGAGGAGGGAGGGATGGTGCTGGCTAAGCCCCATGGCTGAGCAGGCTCCAGCACCATGTGCTGCGCCCCACATCTTTCACCCACCAGCATGGCGCCATGCCCTTGGGCCAGAAGTTGCTTTATGGCTGGAAGGTTTGGTTCTTCGTAGGGGTAACCATGGTTGAGAAATAAAGGACAAAGCTAGAATCCACAATGGACCTTTTAGAGTTTCAAGTGAAATACGTTAATTTTCATTAACTTCATTAATTCAGATCATTTTAATGAAATTCATTGACTGGCTCAGTGCTTGTCTTACGGATGCTGTTTCTCTTAGATCATATTGACACCCATTGAAGTTGCTATTGAAGACATGCAAAAAAAGACCCAGGAGCTGGCCTTTGCAACGCACCAGGACCCAGCAGACCCCAAGATGCTTCAGATGGTCCTCCAAGGGTCTGTAGGCACAACTGTAAACCAGGTAGGGCCACAAGAGGGAAAGGAGTGCTGCTCAGTATCACCTGAAGTCACAATTGGTTAGCAGTTAGTGAACACTTAAAAATGTACCAATGGATCTGAGTCCATCACTGGCATCCCTTGCAAAGGTCCAGGTTGCAGCCATCCTTGCCTGCCCATACTGGACAAGTCTTGCCCCAGGATGACCGCCCAGCCTTTGGGGCTTCCTTGGACATGGCCTGTCCATCAGTTACCTGTTCTCCCTCTCTGTGTGACCAACCCACCCTTCTCCATTTTCTTTGATGCCACCCGGGTTCAGTTTTCCTTGGTCCCTTGTTTGCACTGTGCATGGTCTTCTCCATCCGCTGAGTGCCTACCTGTCCGTTGCCCTCTGAGCCATACTTGTTGTGAATTTATTGAAAACTGTAGTGTTCTGTGACTCACAACCACAGTAGAAAATCGATCAGGACCATGGATAGGTAAAGAATAAATCGGCTAAAAATGTGTTTATCTTAGTCAGGGAGTCTTTGTAGAAACTAGTTTTAGAGACTTTTTAACACTGCAGGTACACGCAGATGAGGACAAGTTCACATGTTCATACATTTGTTTCATTAACATCTTATTAATCACCTGTGTAAGCCAGGCCCTTTCCTGGGTGCTGGAGAGGCAAAGACAAAAAGGCAGCAGCCCTTGCCTTCAGGCAGCTTATAATCTGGTAGATGGAAACCACAGGTGCATAGACAAGTAACTACACCATGAAGCAAAGAAATTTGGAGATCAGGGGGTGGAGGAGAGAGCTACACGTTTGACCCACCCAGCTCCCTCCTCCTGCTGTGATCCCAAAGAGAGGTGACCGCAAGCCACCATGCTAGCCCTGGTGGAGACCTCTCCCCTAGAGACAGGTACCCCAACCCCCGACCAGGCCGGGGTGGTCTGTGATGCCTGGATGCTTGAAGATGGAACATGTTTCATTCTGTCCATGACAGAGAAAGTCCCTGTAAGTTTGTTATGGATAAGCGGGAGGAGGCTTGGCTGGGAGGGAGGAATTCAGCAGAGGAGCGTGGGCCGCAGAGGGAGACTCCAGGGGTCAGCCCGGCTTCCCTCGGCCAGGTGTTGCTCTCATCCGAGGGGGTGGGAGACTAAAAGTGGGAGGACAGGAGGTCTGTCCCCTTGGCTCCCCGCCCTTGGATTGGACATGGGGAGGAGGCCAGCATCAGCATCAAGAACGGGCTTGAATCTTTTTGGAGCATTCCCCAGTGTCCTGCTGTGTTCACTGTATAACAGGAAAAAAATACACACACACACATACATAAAAAACAGCTGAATGTGTCCTCTTGAATGGCAGCTAGGTGGTGCCATAGTGCCTAGAGCCTTGAGCCCAAATCCTGCCTCAGACGCTGCTTAGCTGTGTGCACGTGGGCAGGTCGTTGAACCTCTGTCTGCCCCAGTTTCCCCAGCACCCTCTCCTGGGGTGAGGTGATGTTGGTGAAGTGTTTTACAAAGCTTGGAGCACGGTGCTAGCGAGTGACTGTTATTCTCATTCTCGTTGCTTTATCATCCTTTATTCGTGGCGGTTTGTACGAGAAGGACAGACAGGCAACTTTGTGGCTGCCCCGTGCCTGGCGTGCCCCTCACTTGGTGGATCTTTTTGTCTTGCAGGGACCCTTGGAAGTTGCCCAAGTTTTCCTGTCAGAAATACCCCACGACCCCAAGCTCTTCAGACACCACAATAAGCTACGTCTGTGCTTCAAAGACTTTACGAAAAGGTACTTCGTGGGTGGCTGCAGGGGTGGCCGGCCCCACTGCCAGAATGCCTTCCCCACAAGTCAGCCCGTTGGCCCCGGGCGCTCGGCCGGGTGAGCAGATTCGCTGCCAGGGCCCGGCAGCCCTTGCCTCCTTAGCCACCCTGGTGATCGGCAAGGCCCCAAGACATGTGTCAGTGTAGTTAGTGTGCATGCCAGTCTAGACGGTCTACGCGTTCAGCCCCAGCCATGGAGCAACCCCCCCACGTGACCACGGGAAAAGCAGACTCCACGCGCCCTCCTGCTGCCCCCTGACCGGTCTTGTCTCCTAGGTGTGAAGACGCCCTGAGAAAAAACAAGAGCTTGATCGGGCCCGACCAGAAGGAGTACCAGCGGGAGCTGGAGAGGAACTACCACCGCCTCAAGGAGGCCTTGCAGCCCCTTATCAGCCGGAAGATCCCTCAGCTCTACAAGGCCCTGCTGCCCAGCACCGGCCACAGGTACTGGGCCTGGGTGTGACGTCGGGCGGCAGCCAAGGTCCTCCCTGTGGAGGCCCCCAGGGCACAGTGGAGATGCGTGAGTGGAAGTCAGAGGGAGGAGAGGCTTAGTTGGGGGTCAGAACAGAGTTTCTCACTGGCGAGTCCCATCTCTGGAAGCCTTTGAGCTGAGGAGGGACGGCGCCCCATCAGGGTGTCCTGGAGGGGTGTGTGCACCGCCTGGACAGCCATACTAGGTGACCTCCTGGGCCCCTTCCAACTCCAGGGTTCTAGCCTTCCACAGCATCTTCAAACCAGGGCCCCTCGTTCCATGGATTCCTGGGTCTCCTGTCTCCTAGAACATAGCAGAGTTAGTCCATAAGATGGTTAATGGTCTTGCCCCCAAAAGCAACTGTAAAGCCATGGTGATTCAGGCGGGCCCTCCCCCCAGGACTCAGTCTGGAACTCCAGAGGCAGGACCCGTCGTTCTCAGTGTGTCTCCGACACACGTCTGACATCTGGGGGGAGGAACGGCCCTGGGGGTTCTACAGGTTGGAGGAAGATCACCCTTGCCCCTAGAAAACTGAGCGGGGAGAGGCTCAAGGCAAAACCAGCCAAGTGTGGGGGAGGAAGGACGTAGGTGAGAGATGCCACGAAGGTAAAAGCAAAAAACGACAACAGACAGGCATCCATGGCACGCGGGAGCGAGGGGGTGACCGGGAGAATGGCAGTGCCCTAGACAGGACGGGAGAACCTCAGGGAGGGGACGAGATGCCTGCAGGACAGAGTAGGTGAAGCATCCTGGAGCCGAGGGGAGGAGGCGAGGGCTGGATGTGGAAATCTAAGAGTCCTGTGCATAGAGCTGCCGATTCACCCCAGGGGAGCAGATGACCTCAGGGAGTGAGATAATAAAGTGGAGGGAAAACGGGCCCCAGGACAAAGCTTTGGGGGACGCCGACGGCGATCGGGATGGAGAGCCGCAGAGGAGGACAGAGTAGGTCCTGAGAGGCCAACAACATTATTAAGTGAGGCACTGTGCAAAGTGCCAGGGATACAAAGGCAAACGAGAAGACTGTTCCTGCCCTCCAGGAGCTTCCCTTCTAATGGGCAAAAACAACACGTGAAAGAGAAGCGACAAGTGCAGGTGTGGAGAGGAAGGGGACACAAACTGGAAATGCACGCGGGTGGCCAGGAGAGGGACACAGGGTGGCTGGCCCGGGCCTTCTGCACGCGGTGGTTCTGGGAGGGCCGTTGGGAGCTCCAGGGCGTCATAGGCTCTAGAGAAGGTGAGAAAGATGAGGATTGACAAAAGTCCACTCGAGTTAGCAGGGAAGAGATCCGTGGTCATGCAAGAGAGGACGGGAATTAACCCATCAATCGGCAAATATTTCTGAAGTGCCCACCAGGTGGCAGGTGGTGGGCAAGCTGCCGGGGATGCAGATACAAGGAGGGAAGTGATCCCTGCTTGCAGTAAGCTTACATTCTAATGGGGGAGACAACAGGTCATAAGAAAGATGCGCAACATCAGTATTAAGTTAACGAGGAGGGAGGGCAGCAGTACAGAAGGTGGTGCCCGAGCGCCATCTCACCGAGAGGGAGGGGGTGGGACTCCGCAAGGCCTAGGAGGGAGGAAGGCGGGGAGGAGCGCGTTCCGGGCTGGACATCACGGGAGGATGTTCTGAGATTCCCTCTGTTGAGTTAAGAGAAACTCAGGGCGTATCTGTTGTATGGAAGGGCGCAGAGACGATTTGCTTATGATCACCTTTCCTTGATTTTCCCCCCAGAGATTCCTTCAGCAGAATGAGTCTTCGCAAAGTGGACCTCTAGGGAAAGACAGAGCACTTGCCCCAGTCTGTTGAGAAGAAAGCCCTGTCTTCAACAGAATCAGAACCTAGGACTTCATTTTGGACACACACCTTCATGTCCTTCCGTGGAAGAGTTCAGTGGTCAGGATGATACTGAATTGTCAAATGTAGACTGTTACTGCGTAAAAATCATGGCTGTGGTTTCCAGTGTCCTGGGAGATGCTGTGAGCTTTTCAAAAGCCATTTCTATGATTCAAAGGTACACTAAATACATTTACTATTATTTATAGCATACCTAATGTTAAATTTATTTACATTAAGTTCATAGATTTAATTTATATTAGGAACTTTTCCAGATGCATTTTTGAACCATTTTAATGTAGTAATGTTTATTTTAAAGGTACTTATTAAATATGTGGATGTTTTCACTTATTTTATTCTGACGTGAACATTCCCATTTGTTGGTGGTGGCAGAGCTGATAGAAAATGAATTTATAGCTGTTGTTTCCAAAGTTATTGAAATGAAAGTTATGACTGGTGACCATATAGGTCCAAATGAGAGTAACAGCCCTGTTTGGAGATGGATAATGGGAGCGTATGAAATTGTAAAATGAAGAGACTGTCGTGACAGTTGCCTAGTTCCAAGCTTCTGGCCTTGGATGACACACACACGGGTGGGCATTGGCTGGGGCAGGGACTTGATGCAGCAGGTAGACTTCCTGGAGCCTGTGCTATGGCCCAGCTTCCCAGCCAAGGGCTGGAGGGATGGTCCCACGTGAGGGCAGGGTCCGTGTGCTGGGAGGGGCTCTGGAGCCTGTTCTGATTCAGTTCTCTGGCTCCAGGGTATTTATTTCTGGACAGTTCAGCCAGTGAAACAGCGATTGCCACACAGGCCCTAACGACCGTTTTCTCTAGAGCTCAAGCCACCTCCGAGGGAGCGTCGGGTCATTTGGACGTGATGGTGAAATGGTGTGGGATTGTATTTTCAGAATCTATCTTAGCTGTTACTTGAAAATCGCACCTCTGGTTATGTTGGCACCTTGAAACGATTTTCTAGGGAGAAACCGATTATTGTCAGAAAGTGCCAGATAAAGAAGCTGTCATTTGTAAGTTCTCAGTTTATCCGTACTTAACCCTCTGGCAGGAAAGAAATACGTGTCCGGCCTGAGAACACATGGGAATAACTGGAGGCTTTGCACAAATTGATGCTCTTTGACGGCATTTCTAATCCATGTGTTGTGTCCTGTGTTTGAATGATGCTGTTCATTGATCCCAGGGAAGCAGACCTTTCTTCTGTCTAGAAGTGAGCAACGTGACTTCTGCTAGTGATACCAAAACAAGGAGCCAGATTCTGTAAAACGTGCCCAAATGGGCAAAAGCATTTTGAACTGACTTCCCGCGGTAGCGGGTCTGACTGACCCGGAGGGAGCAGCTTCTAGCCCGGCCTGTATGTGGATGTATACCAAGCATGGCTGCTGACTGGCACCCCAAGGTAGGTGCCTAGAGAGACCCTCACACATCCTCTCCCAGAGGGCTGCAGGCTGCTCAGCCTCATGCAGGTCTGGGCTCGAGGGGAAGAGATGCAGTAAGCAAAGCAGGGCCCAGCATCTGCTCTAGCCCCAGACGACAAGGAAGGTGATAACAGCTAACACCGAGCTAAGCAGGGTACAGTTATCTCCCTTGATCCTCACAACCATCCTGGGAGGTAGGTGCTGTTATCACCCATTTTACAGAGGAGGAAACTGAGGCAGAGGTGAGGTGACTTGCCCAGGGCCCCATGGCTAGGAAGGGTCTGAGTTGAACTTTCCCGACTCCAGGCCAGGCTTTGGTATTTTACTCATTCTGTGACCATCTTTGGGCCAGTCAGCTCCTTTCCTTATCCAGAAATTAAGTGGGGCTCTCAGGTTCCACCCATCTGGTCTGAGTAGAAGGCTACAGGACAAGCCCCATGGGGAAGCAAAGGGAAGGAAGCCCTTCTGCCTGCAGCCAGAACCAGGGCAGCTGGAGGGCGTGCTGCCTTTAGAGGACATCTCAGGACAGGGCGGCTCTGGGAGCCTGGCTGCATTGATATTCCCAGGGATGGGTCACTCACTAAGATGGGTGAGAACGAGTTTGTAAAGATAAGTGAGTGTGATGGGGAGTCCAGGGGTTGGGAGTAGAGAAGAGGCGGAGGCGGCCTTTGCCCATCACTGTTGAGGCCTCATGGACTGAAGCAGCTTTGCAGCCTGCTCGCAGGACCGTCAGGACGCCTTCAAACGTAAGTACACTTCCCATCAGGTCTGCCTGCTGTCTCGCCGTCACAATGAAGGCATGCAGTATGTCCAGCTGTTGGAGATTAGGCAAGCTTTAGTTCTGAAAGCTGTACAAGATGCTCATCTCCCATGAAGTGCCCACCTGAGGTACCACACACATAAGTTAACCCTACAACCCCAGAGAATAGGAGTCCTCAGTAATTCAGAATGCGCTTCAGGGCCACGTCACGGGTCTGGCTCCCAATTTACGAAAGTATTGGACTGAAAAAACTCGCCACAGGAGCTCTCTGGTTTGTCACAGAACAGTATGAGAGCAAATTAGCCCAAAGGCCTGACTTAATGCCTCTGAAGTCTGCCTTCAGACTCCTAAGCCAGTCCCTTCACTAAGGGCCCTTTGCCTTACGGGAAAAAGAAACCTCAAAACATTCTACCTCGACTATTTCCTAACATTTTTATTATTGAAAAAAATGCCTTCCCCAGTGTTCAAACAACACACTACCGTTTACTGTGGTTGTTATGCAGCGACTGTTCATTTTGACTAAATTAGCAGATAGTATAGTCCAAAACCTCAAAGGCCATCTCAGGCAGCCTTCCTACCCTCCAGAATAAAAGCCTAATCTTGAGTGGCTCACACCCGGAGTACTGTGTCCATTTCTGGACACCACCCTCTAGAAGGGCATTGTGGTGAGGGCCTTGTGCCTTCCCCAACTTAGCTGAATGGGTAGATGTTTGATCTATAAGAGATTGTGTGCATGGAACAAGAATTGTCTTGGATTATTTGAAGGGTAACGTGGAAGAAAGGAACAGACTTCTTCTTAGCCCCACCACGTCAAAACTAGAACCACCAGGGGGTACTTCTGGGGAGGCTCATCTTGACTGTCATGCTAGGTGTGAGAAACTGACAATGGAGCTTAACACAGGGGAGTGGGCCACAAGTGGCGGGGGCCAGTCCTCCAGCCTGTTGACCACTTGTTAGGGTTGGTGTTCACAAAGCGATCTTTGAGCATGCTTGCGCATTCATCCCACCCCCGTTGGCCTACTTAGCACATGGAAGACGAGGTGACATCAGGCCCAATATTTTCCTTTTAACGAGCAGCGACCTTACAGAAATCATTGCACTCTCAAGTCTGTTTCCTCTTCTGTAAAACTAGTTTCTACTTGGTCCCTCACAGCTGCAGCATCTTAAGTGGGAAGATAGGCACCCATTAATGTTTCTTAACACAGTAGGCACTCAATCTAATACTTTCACCTCCACACTATCATTTTCCTTGTAGAATATATCTTCAGTCCGATAGGAATTTTGGTGTAGTTCAAACTTAATACACACATGTGCTACAAAAATAATCATTTCTTTGAAATATTTCCTTAGGACAAAAACTATTTTGCTCGAGTAACATTTTAGATTGTGACTATTAATAAGCAATGTCTAAATAAAGCTTTAAAGATTTTACCATTTACAATGGTCTTCTCCAATTAGTAAGCTTTACTTTTAATACATTTAAGATTTCCATGCAGATAACTTGTTTGAAATTCTCTGGCCTGACCATTCCATCAAGTCATGAGTAACTTTGAATTGACGAAATGGCTTGTTCCAAATGCTACCAAGCAGGGCCTTCCCATTTTTCATGTACTCCTTTAAAAGATGACTACCATAAGGTAAACAGCATCCTCAATCACTTTTTAAGGGCTGGTAAAGCTAGTGTATTACTTTCCATACAAGAAGATAATGTTGTAAAGGTAATTATGAATGTTTATTCCACATATATACACAAATTCTGTTCTTGAAAAGAAACCAGATGCTTTAGGGTAGAAAGCTGTAAGTACAAAACTTTAGTGAGTTTGTATACATAGTTGCTAAGTATTTTAAACTGAATGCCCTCCCTGCTTTGAAAAAAAAAAAAAAAAAACAACCCTAAAGGTCATACCTCTAAATTTTTATATCCTATTTACAAATTATATAGCAATATGACTAAGAAGAAAACAGGCTACTCTTGTCCAAACCTAGACTGATCTGCTAAAGTACAAAATCATAATCATAAATATATATATATATATATGTATCTATCTATATATATATATATACACACACATATATATATATATATAAAATCCTTCCTAAGGTAGTGATGGGCAAGGATGCTGTCTAAGGGCTTGTGAAATACACCTTACAAAGTGATCCAAGGCACAGAATTCACACCAGTGTGAACATGCAAGTTCTAGAATCTTAAAGGACTCTGCTTCATAACTTGGTTATAAAACTAAGTGCAATGAGGTGGCTGCCTCCTAATTTACAAAACCACACGATCTATAAACATTTTGGCAGTAGATATAATTATTCCAAAATATGGAAAATACAAATACAGCACTTTATTTTTAAAAGCCAATACAAGAGACAGATGTAAAACTTTCTTTAAAAAGTGTTTTTAAAGAACTCTATTTTGACAAACTGTTCGAGAACCTACACAAATCTGTCCTCAGAAGCTAACGTATTGCTAGTCTCCAGCAGAGTGGTTAGTGAACATGGAAAATGAATTCTAAAAATTAACAGGACTTCCAGTCATTCAGATTTCACTATTCGTACAAAAACTAGAGACCAATAATAACCCAGGAGCTTCCAAAGGCCAACGAGCTGCCGCCTCAAGGAGTCTTTGCTGCAACCTCTATTTATAAGATCATCCAAATCTGTTTTATGTACACAAGGAAAACACACTCACTCTATAATTTTCTTATAAAACAGTAAGTAAGGAGTGGACGGGGAGGACGTCGCGGGGGAAAGGGAATTCAGAAAATCTTTTTCTTCTGTCACCTTCACTTCCGAGTCGTCAAAGAGCAGCCACTTCCCCTCGTACTCTTTCAAGCTCTGCATCACATCGGACACTTTGCTCTCCAGTCCGTGCAGGTTAGCGTCCACCTGGCCACCGGGCTCCTTGGTTCTGTCCGGCTCCTGGGTCCCGTTGGTGCCGCCGGACTCGGGGCCTCTGTTTTCGGCCAATGCCCCGATGACCTTCTCCGAGCTGGACGCTCGGTGGCCGCTGCACAACTCGTAGTCCAGCCTGCTCTTCTGTCCCCCGAGAAGCCCGACGGCTTCCACGTTTTTTTTGCTCTGGACCTTGCCGGGCTGTGCGCTGCCATTGACTCGGAAGGACACGTCATCGTCGTGCTCTTCGGCGAGAGCCTTGGCATCCTGCTCGTTCAGGGGGTCGGGCTTACCCGTCTCATACATTTGGTCCACCACAAAATTCTCCGTATCGAGTTCCAGACTGTTCAGGTCGGTGACTTTAACGGAAGCAGTGTAGTGCCCACTGCTGATGGTGATGCCGCTGTGCATGACCACCGCGAACAGTCCATAGCTGTCACTGGTTGGCTTGGTGCTCCACTCCTCCAGGGACAACTTCAGGGGCGTCAGCAGAGGCGTGTTGATCTTGGACAGTCCTCCACCATAACAATCAAACCTGGCAAAGACAAAGGCAAGTCATGTAATGTTTGCTGCGCACACAAAGAGCGTTTCCTATCCCCATTTGGAGCGGGAAAGGACACACGAACTGAATTTCTTTCTGTTGTACAGTTCAGGCATTCTGACAAATGGGCTCGTGACTTGCACGTCTGAGGACAGATTAAAGATCTGGTTTGCCCCCAGTTACTTGTCTCTGACTGTCACATTCCATTTTGGTGAAGAGACTCCTCAGCTCTGGCCTGCGCTCCCCCGAGAGCGGTGGCAGCCAGGGGGAGCCGGCATGCCGGGGAGCGCGTGCCGGAGTTTTCGAGCTTTGCCTGATACTCACTCCAAGCCAGTGGCAGCAAAGCACTTCAGGTGGATGGTTATCACCTCAGGCATCTTGTCGAAAAGGAGGCTTCTTTCCGCCTCCGTGTAATGATGGCAGTTTTCGCAGAAGTATTTGTCCTCTCCCACAATCCGCTCCACAGAGGCGAACTGCGAGATGGCCCACTTCAGGCTCTTCAGCTCGGTCTTGGGCTCTGGAGAAACTGCACAAGACAAACACGTTTTGGGCTCACTAACCAAGTCACAAAAGCTTAAAATGAGCGTGAAAGAAAAAGGAAGGACGTCCCCAGGCTAATCAGCGGCTGCCTGCCGTTAAACTTTACCTTCAAGTGTGCATTCGCTGACAGCAGAAAATGACTCTTCAAAGGTGAGAGGAAAGTAGTTAAATTTTAAATCTCCCGTTCTGTTTCTTATATAGTATAATATAAAAAACATCGTACAAGCCCGATTTTATACATTTCCAAAATCAAAAAGGAAGGCACCCAAGATACTCTGACAAGTGGAAGGTGGTGGAAAGCCATTAAAACAAGGGGCAAATTAAAAAAGTAACTCACCATGTAGGAGACCTAAAAAAGGGCTAAGTCCCCCACAGTCAATCTATATTAACTTTTCTAGAGGATAGCCCAAAAATCTCTTGCTTCCCCCAAATAATGCTTGCAGGAATACCCCACTTAACCCACACAGAAGACAGTGCTGTTCCACAGGGATGGTGTTACATGGAGGCATCAGTTACTGTGTGCAGGCACACGTTAGACTGATGAATGCTGCTATGAAATGACGCTAGGTTGGGGGACCCTGTCTGTGGGACACCTCAGTGGCAGGCTTTTTTCAGCTGACAGCAGAGCATGACCCACTCATCATACTCACTCTCTGAACTCTCCTGCACTTTGGAAAACTCCTCCTCTTGGACTGGGACGCTGATGTCTTGGAAATCTTCTCTCCTCTCTGTTAAACTTTCACACTCCAAGCACCGAGTTCTCAACACCAGCTGGCCTTGGAATAATTTCTCCACCAACTCAAAACAAACTTGTTCCATCCCTACAAAGGTGGTGAACTCAGAATCAAACAACTGCCCGAGAATTTCTGCTCCTCAGCCCAGCCTGAGGTTTTACTAAGTGTCTTAATGAACAACACATAAGCAAACCTGAATTTCTCTTTTTCAGGCCCATTCTCTCAGCCCATAGTTAGGAACATGATGAAATGAAGGACAGAATGTAGCTTGGAAGGAAATGCTGTATACTGAATCCTGTTTCCTTTTCTCTTATACAACAAATTCCCAAAGGCTTGGCTTCCCTTGTTTTTAAGGCAACTTCTACAGAAAATCAGGGGAATTCAAGCAATTTCTCTGAATGCCCTTTTTAACGGACCGGGCAGCAGAGTCCAGGTGGTGCTAGCAGCACAACAGCCAGCTCACCCCACTACAACACTCATTTTTCCTAGGGTCCTATAGCAGCCAAGGGTAATTAAAAGTTTTAAAACGGTAAAGTTTTCTCATAAGATTTTATTTGTAAAGAGATGCCTAGATGAAAATACAGTCAAGACAGAAGCCCATGGTGGTGAGTCTGCTGCTGTCTTTAAAGGCTGCCCCCAAATCTTCCTGCCCTCCCCAGGAGCACTCACCCTACCCCTCGTGCCTGAGGCTGAGCCTGCCAGAGGAGGGTCAAGCTCCACTCTGCATCTGGCAGATCCGGAAGGTGTCAATACTGACCTTTGTTTCTCAAAGACTGCATTTCTTTCTCCTCCACACTCTTCCCTGGGGGTGCAGGTTCCCCAGGGTTGTCTTTTAAGGCGCCCCTGGTCTCCCCTTTCAGGTCCTCCTCACATTCACTGTCGGTTTCTTTCGAAGGCCCTTTGGGTCCCGAGTGTGTGGTGATCTTCCCCAGACTGCAGAACTTGGAAAGGATGCTGGGCTGTTTGGCAGTGGGCTTTAGCCAATTCAATTTGAGTCTTGATTTCTTGTGGCTCTGCCGGGCGCCGTCTCCATCAGCAGCCCCTTTGGGCATTGTTTCGGGAGAACTTTCAAAGCGAGCATCCCCAGTGGCTTTTCTCTTGGACCGGGTCTGCCTCTGGTTCCCTTCAGACGCTGCCGGCTCCTTAGATAGCTTAGACTTCTTCCTGGGATTCCCCGCTTCACTGTCACTTTTCCTTTTCCCGTTTCCCTTTGGGAATCTGTCTTTCCCTTCCCCGTCGTCCTCATTGGTATTCGTTTCACTGCCTTCTCTGGGAGGAAGAGGCTTCTCCTCCAGCGGGGGAGGTGACACCTCTGCTGGGGAGGTTCTTAGCTCTTCCTTCTTCAAGAGCTGGCACGTCTCCTGGATGTTTCCCAAGATGCACTGCAGCACCTCCTGAGCATCGTGCTGCAGGTAGCCTTCGTACATGGGATTCAGTTCCCTGCAAAGATCAAATGACCATCACCCTTCTCTAACACACACAAGTCCATTCTTTCCATTTAAAACAGCACCGTTATCCAGTGACATTGACAATATTCTTAAATAAGTCTCCCCCCCATATAGGTTATTGGCCACAAACAGCTGTCCCCTTCCCCCCCCAAAAAAAACCCAAAACATCACAACCAAAACCCCCAAGTACCAAACAAACTGGCAAAAAAAAAAAAAAAGCAGGTGAAGTGAGGCCAAGAATCACTCACTATGAAATGCAGATATATTAGAATTCAACAATAAGAGCCTTTCTCTTTTTATCGGTATATAAAGGCATCTAGGCTCTAGCATTTTTCCTCTTCCACTGTTCAGGAAGCATGCAACCAAAGCTGATGCTTTTTAAAATTTTTAAAAACTATTCAATAAACAATAAGAACCTAGCAATTACTGTTGTCGTTCGGTCATTTTAGTCACGTCCAAATCTCTGTGACCCCATTTGGGTTTTCTCGGCAAAGATACTGGAGAGTTTGCCCTTTCCTTCTCCAGCTCTTTTTACAGGTGAGGAAACCCAGGCAGTGTAAAGTGACTTGCCCAGAGTCACCCAGCTAGTAAGTGTCTGAGGCCATACTTGAACTCAGGCAGAGAAGTCTTCCTGACTCCAGGCCTGGTGCTCTATCCATTACACCACCCAGCTCCCCAGAGCCTGTAAGACTTGCTTCTTACTGTGGGGGTGGGGGGGCTTGCACACAGAGAGTGTTTGGGAGGCTGGGTTCATAGCACATACAACACATGCTGCAGCTCTGGCATCATGGTTCTGCTGCTTTAATTTGCTGTGCTCATCAACTTAGAACATTTAAATTTCATTCTAGGCTATACCTCAGAGTGTTCAGTAGACGCCTCGGCTGAGTAGCAAGTTCATCTGTGTATTTCTCTGGATTCAAAAGAAAATTGGCCTGAAGTTGTTCAACTGAAATTATTAAAGACTGTAAGCTGCATATTAATTCATAGCTTGCCAGGTTGTCTTCTTTGCAATTTCCCTGCAAGAAACATAAATAAATCAATCTGATATTTATGAATACAAGTATCTTTCCCTTCTCTATTTCTTCTTCCACAAGCAACTTTCTTTCTATAATGCTCTAAGAAATTAAAAAATCCAAAATAAAATATTTTTAAAAAGCAATCTCTCAGTTTTGCTACTTATGGAAGCCAAAACAAAATTCCAGTTGAGTAGAACAAAGAAGTTCTGAAAATTAAGGACATTTTACCTTTTATTTCAGAGACAAGTTGAAGCTTTTCTATACAGCCGTTTCTACTTCCAATAGAAAGCTCTGAATGGGGTCCCCTCCTGGTGGTCATCCAAACCCGTCTACACGGCAGGCTTCAGAGCCAAGAAGACCAAAAAACCTAGACTGTAGATAACCTGCACTTCCTTATTCCCAATCCATTCAAATGGTTTTCTAATTAGGTGGAATATCAAAATTTCATATGAACATGGAGCGATTAAATTTTACACATCACTTAGGGCCTCAAAAATGGCCGGCCAAGCTGGATGTCTCACTCTTCTCCTCAACACAAGGCCCAAGGCACTTGGATATTAAACTCTAGTTTGGGGGTTTTAGTGTTAACCTACAATTTCGACAATGAACAACCTATATCGACGTAAACTGGCAATTCTGTTTTGAGAGCTAGACACAGATCAGTGAAATGACTCCTGACGACCCAATCTCCCCTCAGAAGGTTTAACTGTAGAGGCTGGACGCCAGGGATATTAGGAAGGAGTTGAGTTCAGATTTGGTACTGCTCTGTGAGATGATAAACCCCGTGAAGGCAGGGTTTCTCTATCTCCCCATGGTCTTCTGATTAATTTAAACTACAAAGAGCGGGCACAGCCAGGGAAGCCCATACGCCATCATTTTATTGAAAGTAAAAATCCTGAGCCTCTCGTCTCTAAAACAAAATGTACTGCAGCGGTCAACGTGTCCCCTCGGTCCTTCCACGTGGCCTTACTCTTCCATCTCGGTTCTTCTAGTGTGTATCCACCACAATTTAAGACAAAAGCACATGGCATCCAAAATAAGACAACCAGGGCCTTAAAACAGAAGAAATCGACTTCCCAAATACATTTGTAAGATAACCAAGTATAGCACTTACTCCGTATAAAACAAAACTGAGCAAATCCACGAGAAAGTGTGTTTCAATACGTTAAGTCAAGGGCAGTTATTCTACCAGAAGAAATAAACTTAAGGAAAAGGGTTTTAACGGCCCAAACCCTGTGTCTAAACCATCTGCTTGCTTACCTTGTCCGCCTTTTGACTGGCTTCATCCTTCAGGGTTTCCTTCTTCCTCGTAATGGCATTAAACAAGTGTTTCACTCCAGTTTTAAAGCCCGGACAAAAGTAGAGCACCTGCACAAAGTTCGCGTCAATCCTGGCCCGCGGGGTCCCGCGCGGCGGGGGGGGCGCCCCGGCCCGAGGCCCCGCCCCCAACCCGTCCGCCCCGCCCCCTCACCTGCAGGACGCTGTTCAGGTAGCAGGTGTTGCCCAGGTTGTTGAGCCCCACGAAGGGCAGCAGGTTCTCCCGCTTCTCGCAGCCGAGGGGCGAGGGCTGAGCGGCCGCCGCCGGCACCACCTGGTCCCTGGGGCGGGCAGAGTGACCGCATGAGCCCCCACCCCACCGCACCGCACCCCCACCCCCCTCCATGCCCCCGCCGCCCCTCCCCCCGCGCCCACGGCGGACACGCACACGTCCGGCCCCGCCGCGTCCCCGTCGCGCTCCTCGTCGTCCTGCGAGTCCGCGAAGTCCAGGGCGCGCTTCGTCTCCTTCTTCTGGAAGAACTTGAGGGACAGGCGGCTCTTCTTGGGGCTCCCCCGGGCCGCCGGGCCCTGGCTCTCGCTCGGCACGACCCCGGGCATCTCTCCCCGTCACCGGCGGCACCTGCCGAGGCCCACAGGTCACGACCCCGCCCGCGGGCCCCCACCCGGCCCCCCCGCGGGGGGCGGGGCGTGGGCGCGAGCGCCCCCCCGGCACCCCCCCCCCCCCCCGCCCTCCGGCGCCCCGCTCCCGGCGTACCCCCGGCGTACGGGGAGAGGGGCGGCGATCGCGCCCTGTCTACACCCGCACCCTGCAGTTTCCCCGCGGGCCCCGCGCGCTTACTGGCTCATGGCAGCGGCCGCCGTCGCGGCTCCATCCCCGGGGCGGGGCCGGGCGGGGGTCCGCGGCTCGGGAGGCTCAGGGGGGGGTCCGGACGCGGCCGCCGCCGGCGCAGACTTGGCGCGTTTTCCGCGGCGCCAGGCCCCCCACGCCGGGCGCCGCGACCCTGCCGGGCGCCGCTCGGAAACGCCGGAGCGGACTCCGCGGCCTCGGGCCCCGGCAGGCCGAGCCCAGCGCTGCCGCCGCCGCCAGCCCCCGCGGCGCTCCCAGGCTCCGGGGCCGGCTCGAACGGCGGCTGACCCCGGGCACCTAACGGGCGGCTGTGCGGTTTCGAAGGGCGCAGGCGGCGGCGCGGGCAGCTCGCGGGGTCCTCGCTGGGCGCGCGCGTGCCGGCCGAGGCCTGGCCGCCGGGATCGAGCCGCCAAAGCTCTCGCGGGCGCTCGCTCTCCCCGCCCCCACCGGCCCTGAGCGCGCGGGATGAAGGGGAAACGTACGGGTCGGGAGACGGCACAGAGAGCGGGGAGGCGGGCGGGAGCCCCGCAGTGGACGAAGGCTGCCGCCAATTACTCAAACTGGCCAATCCTGGACCGAACGTGGGCTCCGGCGCGGCCCCACCGGCCCCGAGCAGCCAATGGCAGAGGCGGTGGGCAAAAGTGAGGGCGGTGCGACACGGCGTTCGCCAGTCAGGGAGGAGGAGCCTGAGAAACATACCAAAGGCGCCGCGCGTGCCCCGCCCCCTCGCGTTCTCGCTCTGCGCTTTCTTCGCGCCCGGGGCGGGCTGGGGGGGAGGTGCCTCCCTGTGGGCTCGAGGTGTGACTGCCTCGTTCTGAGCAGTGAGCCTCGGGCTTGGGGGGATGGTAAAGGGGGGAACGTTGGCCCTGGCGTCCTCTTCGCTTCCCCCCCGCTCCCCGCCTTCGTTACCGGGGAAACCAGAATTCAAATAAAACGGCCCCCGGGCCGCGCGCGCCCCCAAAGGACGGTGGCCGAGAGGGGGTGGGGCGTGGCGTAGGCGGAAGCGGAAGTGGGTGTGTCGTCCAGGGCCCTTGGCAGTTCCGGCTCTTCCCCGACAGAGCCCTCCTTGTCCCTTCTTTGCCCCGGAAGCTACCGCCGCTCCCTCTTACCTCCGGTGTAAAATGCCAGCCTAAGAGCGGCCGGGGAGACCGGAGAGGGGAGCAGCGCCGGCCGTGGGGGCCTCACGTTATTCTGTCCCCGCTGGCAGCTCCTACCCCCGTTGGATTGTAAGCTTCCCGAAGGCAGGCCCGGTCGGACGCACTGCACTTTGAACCCACTTGGTGATGTCACGTCGGTCCTCTTAAGTGCCACCACCAACCCAGCAGGCGCCTAATAAATAAATGCTTGCGGAACAACTGAACAATGAGGTCGTCAGGGGAGGTGCTGCAGGGAGTAGAAACCGTGGCTCCCAGGTGTGACCTAGTCAGACTGGAGAGGGGCATAGGCCGGAGCCTGGAGGGGGTCAGAAGGGGCCGTTAGATGAGGATGTTGCGGTCTGAGAGGGTGAGACCCCTCAAAGACTGAAGTACAGGAGGGGGTCGTCTGGAATGATTCACAGACTCAAGCCTTCGTCAAGTCAAGGTGGCAAAGATTTATTGTTAGCTTTTCAGCGGGCAAGGATTCTTAAGGAACCTGCGAGAGACTGAGGGTGGAGCTAGGGTTTATATGGGAAAGGAATGCCAGGGACACTGATGAGGTAATCTAAAGGTCCGGGTGTCTTTGGGAGATATGGATGGGAAAGTGTAGGGAGTATACCAGACAGGGAGGGAGATGTCAGAGGCATGGATCTTGGGAGTCTGGCAGGAGGAAGAATCCTTGGGCCGGCCAAAGACTGAACTCCTTGGACCAGACGAGACACCCCCTCTCTCTGTCCTGATTAGAGAATGCTCTGTAACAAGGGAAAGCTTTCTTAGAAGACAGGAGCTTACTAAGGAATTGGGAGGCTTCCAGAGACGTGATCTGAGGGCTGGGACCCAAGCAGCCCAGCACTCTCTCTCCCAGCTTTTTGTAGTTGCACCAGGGAGAGAGATACGGGTCTTGCTGGGTAGGGCTCACTCATGAGTAACTGCTAGGCACAGTGTCCTTGGGCTGGGGAGTGATTGTCAGAGACGATGTTTCTGAGGCTAGGGAGAAATTGGGGTCCAAGTACAAGCACAAGCATCCCATCAAGGAGAGCAATCACCTTGTCAGAAGACAGACTGCAAGTTTGGGAAACAAATGAAAGAAATAACAGCTGCAGAAACGAAAGTCCCAATGACCCAGAACTTTCAAGTCATGCTACTGGGTATAGTCCTTGTTGGATAGGGCTGTGATAGGGATGCTGGTGCATTGTTGGTGGAGCTGTGATTTAGTGCAGCCATTTTGGAAAGTGACATGGAGTTATGCAAGTAAAATGACAAAAATTTTGATGCAGATTCTATTATTTGGTATGTACCCCAAGGAGATCATTGATTTAAAAAAGGAAGTCCCTATACATGCCAAAATATAGCAGTACTTTGTGAGCTAGCAAAGAGCTGGAAACAAAGTTGATGCCCGTCAATTGGGGAATGGCTAAGCAAATTGTCCAACATGAATAATGAAGTATTACCGTGTTGTAAAAAATGACATGATAAATACAGAACATAGAAAGTACATAAACTGAAGCAGAATGAAGTGAGCAGTGCCAAGAAAACTATATACACACATGATATAAATGGGAAGAACAACTTTCACACAAGAAAGTTGAAATTGAACTTTGCAAAAATAACAAAGAAAAAACATGGCCCCAAAGGAGAGTTATAAAAAGACATCTCCCCCTACTCTTTTTGTAGTTTGGAGGTCCACAGTTGTGGAATAATGCAGATGTTTTCAGGTTTTTTCAGTGTACTGGTAAGTTTTGCTTTTTTTTTTTCCTTTAAAAAAGTATTCTTTGTTATATGGGATGGCTCTGGGAGAGGAGACATACAGGGGGGAAATTTAGCACATGTAAAAACAAAAGATCAGAATAAAGTAGATTAAAGGTTTGGAACACTCACTGGTGAGCAGTATAGTAAATCCTTTAGTGAGGTTTACAAAGATTGCTTTGCTGAACTGAGGTCCCAGTTGAAATGAATCTAACAAGTTTGTAGTGGATTCAGTCAGCACAGTTTTGTGATTTTTCTCTATCTCTATTTAGCAGCACATAAATAAGAGCAAAAGAGTAATTCAAGGTTGGGGTTTTGGCAAGGCATGATTGGCATTAAGATGAGGGAAAAAGGAATTCAGGTGTACAGGCTACTGTGGAATTTAACTGATTGACCAAGACAGAAGGAAAGTGCAGCTGGTTCAGGAGTGATGAACTGGGAAAGAACTGAGAGGTAGAAGGAGTGGAGGTCACAATGAGGATGAAGAACGGCATTAGAGGGACTGTAAGAAATATGGAAATGTGGAATGATACACGTTTATGACCAGAGAAAATGATTTTTGAAGTCACGAATGTGGAACGCTTGTGGGTCCTAGCAAGACGAAGGACTGAGGTGGAGTTAGGGAGTAGGTCACGGGACTTGAGTGGTTTGAAGAAGCTAGGGTGTTTAGGAAGTATCAGTATCTATGCTGAAGTCCTTTAGTTTTCTGGCAGCAGTTGTGGTAGAAAGAGTGTGAGCCAAACACTGAATTCATTGAGAAAGGAAGGAGAATGTCCTGGAGGCTGATAAATCATGGCCAAGGGACTAAAGACTCAGACTGCTGCCCTCAGTACAAAAGCTCAGGCCTCAGTAACCACCTGGCTCCTCCCTTGTGCTTTTAGTAGAAGACCAGCAAAGAAACCCCTGCTATGTTCAGCGGAGGGGGGGGGGGGATCCTTTATGCTCACAGTGTCCCTCCCCTGCTCCGGCTAAGTGTAAGGGTCTGGTTGAAATTATCCCATTTTGATTCTGGTGCCTGACAAGGGGGAGAATTTTTTTCATTGAATCAATCAGAACTGAGTATAAACAGAACCTTGAATCAATCAAAGCCATTATGTGTGAGACAATGAAGAAGCTATCTTAGAACTTGGGCAACAGAGGGCTTGGAATATGATATATTCCATAAGGCAGAGGAGCTTGAATTATAACCAAGGATCAGCTACCCAGTGAAACTGAGCATAATCTTTCAGGGGAGGAGATGGATATTCAATGAAATAGGGGACTTCCAAACCTTCCTGATAAAAAGACCAGAGCTCAAAAGAAAATTTGATCTTCAAATACAAGACTCAAGAGAGGCATAAAAAGGTAAATAGGAAAGGAAAAAAAAATTTGTTAATAAGGGCAAACTGTTGGAATCCCTACAAGGGAAGATGAGACTTGTAACTCTTGAGAATTGTATCATTATTACTACATTTAAAAGGGGTATACATAGACAGAGGGCGTGGGCATAAGTTGACTTTGATGTGATAATAAAAAAAATCTAACGGGTATAAAGGTATTGTTCTGGGAGAAGAGGAAAGGAGGAGGCAGACTAGGGTAAATTACAACACAGGAAAAGGCATAAATACCTATTACGGTAGAAGGAAGGAAGAGAGGGAGATGAGCATTGTTTGAACCTTACTCTCATCAGATTTGGCTCAAAGAATAACATCATATATCATATCATATTATATTACATTATATCATAACATAATCAGGTATAGAAATCTAATTTATCCTATAGGAAGTAGAAGGGGAAAGAGAAGGGAGGGAAAAAGTTGTAAGGGTAAAGGAGAAGAAAAGGGAGAGCACCGATAAAAGGGAAGGCAGACTGAGCAAAACTCTAGTGAGGAGGGAAAGGGAGAAAAGA